AACTATGTGTTTATGAATTTAAAGCTTACCCAATATAAAGTGCTTTTTAGAATAAATAATGACTTACAAAAATCTTTAATTTTTAAAAATTTGCCTTAATTACTGTATCAGTTTCCTAGGGGTGTTTAATCAAGTACTACTCATTAGGTAGTTTATAACAACAACAACAGCGACAATGATAACAATAGTTTATTCTCTTACAGGTCACAGTTTGAAATCAAGTTATCAGTAAGTTTTTTTCTAAGTAAGGCTTTGTTCCAGGCCTCTCTCCTAGCTTCTGGTGATAGCTGGAAAACATTGATGTTTCCTAGCTAGCAGATGCATTGCTCATCTCTGCCTTTATCTGCACGTGGCCCTCTCCCAGTCTCTGTTTCTGTTCTCCTCTTATAAGCAGGCTATGTTGGTTTAAAGGTCCTTCCCATTTCAATATAACCTCCTTTTAACTTCAGCATTCTGGGCATCACCTCTAGGTATCACCTGAACACCTCTGGAGTTCAGGACAGCTCTTTCCCCGTCTGACTCCAGCTCCTCTCCAGTCCTTCAGTGCCTTCCTGAGAAGCCAGATATAAGGTCCATAATGGGAGTGGGGACTTACTTTGAACCCAGTAAACCAGTTCTGTACACCATGGTTAAGGACTTTTCTGTCTTGGGATCCGAGGGAACACAAAAAATAAGCCTATGGACTTATTTTTGTTCCTTATCCATGTCTGTAGGGCTCTCCCCAAGGCTAGACAAAGTTGTTCTCTTATAGCACCCCTGTAGTTCCAGCTCTTCTTTATGGATTAAGCCCCAAACCATGTCATTAGCTAGGAACCCCAGGCTGTGGCCATCTTCACCTCATTTAGCCCTAGGGCAAGTTGAGGCGTCTCACAGCTGTGAGGATTATTGTCTTGATTGCAGGTGCTCAGCCAAAGCAGAGGAGACTCAGAGGCTCAGAGCCTGCCCTCCATTTACTTCCTACAGCCAAGGTTTTGGAATATGTTTTGTTTCCTGAGGTTTCCCCAGGCTACTGAATGGGATGGAACTCAAGAAAGGAAATGCCATCCTCCTTATTTCTGGTTCTCCTGAGGGCCTTGGGTTTGATGTCCCTGCACACGAGTGTTTTAGAGCTGTTTCCCTCAGATGAGATGGAATAAAAGGGGACTGACTTGCTATTTCCATTTTCTGATTCTAAAATAATGACTCATTGTAATAATATTTCTTATGGTAGCATTCTCTGAAGAAACAATTATGATTGTTGAAAATGTTTTGTAAAATGCTGCACATTATAACACTAGGTCATAATGTAGCCATGGATTCTTATACTGCTGGAGATACTGTTGAAACAATGCCAATAGAATATAAAAATCAAGATGGTTCTTAATTATTCTGGGAAATATTCTACCTACAACTAAATCTTGATTCTGATCATTCATCTGTGTGATTGCATGTACTGTTGAGAAGTTTTTCATTTTTTTGGGGGGAGAAAAGTTTCCCTGAGCTTCTGAGGTCTGCCCTGTGCTGCCCCCCTGTACCCTACTCCCTGTGCACAATCTTCTGAGGCCATTTGCTTCTAAGAAATGCATTCTTTTTAAAAATTCAATTGTTTCCCCTTTGCTCTTCTCCCTGTTTCTTCTTGAGGTTCCAGAACTGAATGGATGAAATTTGGAGTATGCCAATAGAAGGGTTCATGAAGATACTCAGAGAACTCTGACTGTACCAAAGAGGCTGATTCCAGTTCAGAGGCAGGATGTGATGGACAATGTAGTTTCACATGGGAAAATCTCTCCACTATGTGTCACAGAAGCCTGGATGGTTACAGAGTTTGGAGAAAAGGGAATATGAGGAACACAATATCCAGAATGGAAGAGACCAGGACTAGTAGAGATCAGGTAACCCCATTCCTGTGGAGTACACAATACATGAGTTTGAGGGTCAATCTCTTTTCTAAAACAGATTTTAAAGAAGAAGAACATTGTATGTCACTGTTTCTTCATATTTTCTTTTTCACCAGAGTGACATTTTTCTCCCAGGAAGCAATTTCAGCAACACACCATATTTAAAACCCATGGTCTTTGTGATTCCAGATGATGGAATCAGGTCTTAATCTTTTTTCCTTTCCTCTTTTCTAGGATGTTCTATAATTTTACACATGGAACATGATCATCAACAAGCTTCCATAAATTCTAGTCATGCACATTTTGTGTGGTCATGTGAAATGATAGCAGAAAAGAGTGGTGAAATTTAAAAATAGAAGTTACATTGACATTAGAACTAGATATTCTTACCTTTCTATTGATTTTTCACCACAGTCTTGGTCATAGGGGACTCTGAGAACAAAGCTCAGGGATCTGTGGGATACAGACTGAGGCTACCTGAACACAAGGTTATTAAGCACTTTTTGTATCATCATTGTATTTCTAGAACTCAGAACTATTTCAGCAGTTGTAGTGACCCACCTCTCACCACGCCTTACCTCCTAACAGCACATCCGCTATGAACTCATTGTTGGATTAATTCACTGATGAATATAGCACCCCATAATCCAGTCATTGTTGCAAATCTCAAACTCCTTATAACCATTTATGTCTTAATGGATGGAGAAGCATCTTCCCATGTAAAGAGCAGGCCTGCATTGCTGTCAGCAGTGGTAGGTGTGGTATAGAAGCTAGGCTGCTAGCTGTGATAATAAGGGATGAGCCAAAATATGTGAGGGGCAATGAGTGATCAAGTGTGTAGTGATCTTCAGACAGAATGGTCAGGACTCACCGCAGAGTCGTCTTCGCTAGAACATAAGGTAGAATGGCACCGCAAGAGGACCTGGCTGTCTCTACAGGGGTTCAGCAAATGGTTAACAAGTGTGCAGGAACTTTGCTGGGGAGGTGTGAGAGTCTTCCTAAGAATGAGTCTTGGTGTAGTGAGTGGTCTCTTGGTCTCTCATGTTTCTCTCAGCTCATTGCACCTGTTCACATGGGTTTAGTCATGAAGAGAACACTGTACTGATCATATGGGCCTTCCCAGTGCACTTCTCACGTCAGAAGTTCAAGACCCAGGTGATACAGTGGGAGGAAAATGTGTAAGTTCTGAGCATATATGTGAAGGTGGTTATGTGTGTGGGATGAGCTGCCAGAAAATATGAAGGAAGGAGAATGAAGCAATTAGAGACTGTTCATGGACAATAAGGATGATGTACTCTTGGGAGTCCTTAGAAACCTTTCCTGCAGGGAAGCCAGAGACAAGAGGCAGCTGAGTTGAACAGAAAGATATAAAATAAGATTATGTTTGCCCTTGGGTTTTGAAAGGATTGGGTCTGAGACTGGGCAGTCCTCTGGGGCTCTTAGAAAATGTCACAGAGAGAAGGGCTGAGTCCGGTGCACTTCCACTGCCCTCTCCTCCCTCATGCCAGAAAGTGTTCTTTGCACTTGCCAATTAAAACACTTAATCATGAGGCTGTCATCCCCCAGAGCATGCAAGTAAGAGATGATTCCTATGGCCAAGCAGTGAGCAAATACAGAAAATGACTGAGGATTGTCAAAGATGTATTGTTGATTAAAATTTTGTTGATAAATGGCTTAACACAGAGCACTAGACAAATGACTTCCATTCACTAAAGCACTTCTGCATATAGACAGTTGAATTTGATATCTGTTTGGTGATTATTCCATTTAAGATTATAGATACCACCAAAGGTCACATTGTAAATGTCACACAGCAAGGAGTAATTGACATTTTCTTATACATAGAACTCCTTCTTCCCAAGCTGATTCTGTATGGTTATCTTAAAATGTTTAAAGCCTGTTTTAAAATTATGTGATTTCAGTCATCTTTTATTTGAATAACATTTATATATTATATTGATATATAATATTGATATGTTATAATAATCTTTGATATATACAGCCATAGGCTAATTTTTTGGGAAAACACATTGTTATTTTAGTCAATATTTTGTGTGCAGTTTTGTGTAACTTCAGAGTATCAAAAGTGTGAAGCAGCCCTGCATTACCTCGACAGTGAACATGTTCATTTATAGCACTGTGTGGTTGATCTTGTGTAAAGTTTTATGACTTAAACAGTGGTCATTGATGAATACTTTGTTTGGGTCCATCTTTTGGCTATTGTGAATTGTGCTACTATGAACACAGGCATTTACTTAACCTTGCGCATATTTAATTTTTTTCTTATAGCTTATTTTTTTGCATGCAGAACTTGAATTTATTTGATGTTTATTTTGGAGTATGACCTATATTAAATTGGGCCTTTAATGGAAGTGTAAGTTTGCTCCTTGTGTCCACTTGTCTTTATGCATATCAGATTTAGATAGAAAAGACTTCAATATCTAGTAAGGGAGAGTGTCTCATAAGGTGGAGAGAAAATTGCCTTGAACAGAAATATGTCCTTCTAATGTGCCCCAAGATGGTGGGGAAAGTGAGACCCAAGAGAGAGGGGCACGTTATGGTTGATCCAAAATGTCCCCCTAAAGTCACATTTGTTCAGCGCTGGGGATCTGCAAGGTGATTGGACTATTGGGACTATTGGGAGGATTAATCCTTGGCTGGGGATTTAGTTCAGCGGTTCTACCGCCTGCCTTGCAAACACAAGGACCTGAGTTTGATCCCTGGTAACAACAACAACAAAAAAAGTGGATTAATCCATCAATGAGTCCATAGTTGAATGTGCTATAAGGAGGGGGGTCTGGTTGGGGGTCGGTCACTGGGGGCATGACTTGAGAAGGTATATTCTTGTACCTGGCTCCTCTCTTTCCCTCTGCTCTTGGCTACCATAGGTTGAGAAACTTTCCTCTGCCATGCCTTTCTACCATGCCATTTATACCTTGGCACCAGCTGAGTATAGGTGGACTGGACCCTCTAAAATCATTAGCCCAAATAAACCTCCCCTCTTTTAAGTTTTGGCAACCAGAAATTTGTCCCAGTGACAGAAAAGTGAATAATATAGGATCATATCATTAAAGGGAAAAAGAAGCTCATTCTGATTCTTAGGATCTTGGGAAGGAGGATTTCATTTGACTTCATTTTCCTGGAAGGGCTCGACTCAATCACGATGTACATTTGTTGTGTATTAGCTATAGTCTTTGTGTTTGTGTTCTGCCGAAATTCTTACGTTAAAACTCGATGCTCAATTTGATGAAATTTGGAGGGAGGGCCCTTGGGGACCAATTACATCATAAAGTCAGAATCTATGAGAGTGAGATCAGAGCCTGTACTATAAGAGACCTTGGAGAACTCCTTTACCCTTTCTGATACATGAGAACCCAGCAAGAAGGTCCCTGCTTATGAACTAGGAAGCGGGTCCTCACTAGTCACAGAATTTATCTTGGACTTTCCAACTTCTAGAACTTGGATAAGTAAATTTCTGTTTTTTACAGGCCAAAATGTTGTTATAGCAGTTCAGACAGACTGAGACAGTACTGCCTGTTGTTTAATGAACAAACATTTGCACTCTAGACAAAACATTTTCGAAGGCGTGCCTGGAACTGACCTGTGCCCCAGTACAAAAGTGTCAGTCACAGAGGGAAGAGGGTAATGTTTCAGTCTGCTGCTGCTGATTGAAAGCATCTCATTGTTTTATTTATCCAGGGTAGATAGCTTGAGATCCTGGTGAAGACTTCTGGAGTAGTCCCATGTTCCTTGTCCCCATAGGAGACAATACCCTGGACCACATTGTTACATACCAGAGGCCCACCAGAGTCCCCCTGTAGGCAGAGAGAAAACAGAACTAAGCCAGGCCTTCCTGTTCCTGCTCCCCTAAAGTCCTGTTTGTCAGAAAAGGCAGGGACAGGTGGGTTTCTTCGGCTGTGTGTGTGTGTGTGTGTGTGTGTGATGGCAGGTTGGTGGGAGTGCAGGAGAGCAGAGGGTGGCCTATGGGCACTACCTATTAGTGGCTGGGCTTTACAGTCTCCAGATCAATCAGAATCAAGGTGCCTTCACTTTTCCAGGAAAATGCTGGATATATGTTGTGGGTCTTCTTCCCTTTCCTTCAGAGATTATATTGATGGGAAAAAGATCTCCACCCCACCTTGATCTGATCTGGCCGCTAGACTGAGGTTGTGGAAGAACGGAGTCTGTTCTCATTGTCTAAGTTCTGCCAAGCCTGCCTGTCCCAGGAAGTATTGGCAGATGCCCATGAGCTTACCTTGAAGGCGGCCTTCCTTTGCCTTGGATCCCCCACACAAATCTCAGTCTGGCTGTTGTAGGAAGGAAAGCGACAGGTGCACTTCCGATCTCTCTGCACTCTCAGCTGCACGTCCTGGAGTTTGTCTGACCACCTATGCAGGTTGACCCAGCCCCAGCCAGCCACTGTGCACAAGGCCCCAGGCCTAGGCTTCTCTCTGGCTTTAGGCAGGGCCACTGGTCTCACGAATCGATTCCGTGTGACTCTATTCCTCAGCTGCAGGAAGAGTGCAGGCATTCCTTCTCAGGTGGTACTCCCAACCGACACTTGGGGACTGGTTGTATAGCACTCACCTCATGTTCCCCCAGCCCACTGCCCTGAAGCCCTGCCTTGCTTTCTCTACCAATGTCCCTGAACACACTGAGGCCCCCACACTGGGAGAGACCAGGGTACACCAAGAAACCAAAGGGTCAGACAGGTAGTACCTGAAGTAGCATGATGTCATTCAGGGCATTCGTTTCATTATATTTGGGATGACGGATGGCTCTGAGCACAGTGACCTGTTGCTGGGTCCTTTCCTGCTTCTCAATGTTGTGGGCCCCCAGTGTGACATTTATGGCACTGCAAAGCAAGGGGTGACCTGTAAGTAAGTATGAGAGGCAGAAGCTATGGTCCAGTAATTCTGCATTGCCATGGACATCCCCAGGCAGGGCAAGACTGCAGCTGGAGAGAGGAGAGAATGGAAAGGTCCCAGATCTGAGCCCAGACCCCTGTTGCTCAGCATCCTTGAGCTGGAAATGAGAAGGGATGATGACCTTTAATGTTTGCACCTTCAGATTAAATTGTAAAATAGCTTGAATTCATATGTTGAGCCCCAATGCATGCTTTTCATCTTCTCCCATTCTTTTCTCCTCTTTTATACCAGCCTCTTACCTTCTGTTTCCCCCATCCTTCCTAGTCTTTTTCACCCTTTCACTGCTACTAGTGTTGCTTTCTGTGTCTATACCCCTGAAGAGTTCTTGAATCCTCACCTTCCCCAGCAATGACCTGCTGTCATCACAAAGTCTTCTCGCACAAGGAATCCCCCACAACTGCTCAGACCTTCTGGACTCTCGACCTGAAGAAATGCCATGTAGGGGTGGGAGTGGGGCCTGGCCTCTCGTCCTCCAATGATCTTCCCTGGAAGGAAGCATTCAGCACTTACCTCTGCTCAAGAACCTGCAGTGCAGGCACAGGTTGGTGGCTTCAGAAAGCCTGGAAGGTGGGAGTGCAGGAGAGGAGATGTGGGAGAGAGAGGAGCTGATGTTGAGTGGTGGGTTCTGCAGGTGCCAGATGCTGGGAGGAGGCTCCCAGACTCTGCAGACACCACTGCCACCCCAGACCTCATCTCACCCCCCTCCTCTGCAAGGGGAGAAGAAGGGCTGCTCCAGGCAAGGCCTTGCTCAGCTTCAGGTCTGGAGGAGAGAGGCTCGGTTGTTATCTAGGATGAACTCTCCTTGAAGTTCACTGGCACTTCCTCCCTAGGGAACTTTGCACATCCCTCTCCGAGTCCAGCTATGGACAGCACAGGATTGGTGTTTAAGAAGCTAGAGCTGGGCTGATGGAACTGCTATTTCTGTATCTCTGACCCCTAGGCTCTGACATGTGGGAAGGATAGAGAACGAATTTATATAAAATATGCAGCACTTACCTTAGACCAGGGTCAATTCTAAGACTTATGCACATCAATAATTCAGCACTCACAATTCTGCAAGGTTGTCATCAATATTGTGGCAATATTGTTCCCATTTAATAGTTGAGGGGACAGGACATGTGAATTCAAATACATGCTCAAGCATGTAGAATGAGGATGTGCCAAAGTAGTGTGGCCCCAGAGTCTGTTGGGTGGGATCAGACCTCTGAGGTTGGGGCTGGTCACTCACCTGCCTGGGCCCCGGGGAGTAGGATGAATCCCAACAGGAGCAGGAGTGGCTGCATCTTGCCTGCAAGTCTGCTCAGTCAGTTGCTGCATATATTTCCCTCTGGCTGACTTTTAGCCTTTGCGAGAGGAAGGAAGAGGTGGGAGGGGGGCTTGAGAATTTACAGCCCCATGGTCCTGCTAGTGTGGTGGTTGCACCACCCAGGGCTGCCTGGGAGGTTTGCCCACCAACTGCCAGTGACCTTGGCAAAGAGGGAATCATCCAAGCCAACATCCTGATCTCCCACTCAGTTGCTGAGTCAGTGGTGACAGCAGAAAGAGGAACTCAGGGCAACCAGAAGGGGTCCTTGGAGCTGTGTGTTTCAGAAACCTCAACCCACTCAAGCCCCCAACACCTTCAAGAAGACATGAAAACGGGCAGCTGCCTATCCTCACCGCATCCTGTCCCTGTGACTTTAGAGCTTCCATCGCTTGGAATCTCAATGAATGTCTTTGTATTGATGAATGCAAATTTCATGGATTACTTATACATACTTATTAAGGCTTGGACAAGGGTGAATGAAACCTGGTGTGGCATGGCTGGGGATGTAGGCGAGGACACCAGGGAAAAGTAAAAGGGAGCTGGAGAGGAAGAGTCAAGCTTGGATGTCTCTACCCTCTGGCCCAAGGCCACCCTGCTGAGGTCCCTGTTACTTCCACTTCTTTGTCAACGCAGACTGAATAGCTGCTCTTCTGAGAGGGTGCAGTGTTCTGCCAGAGAAAGACAAGGAAAGAACAAGACTTTGTCACTGATACTTACGCTTTAAAATCACCCGAGCCTGACAAATCCTCAGTAAAAATTATGCTCATCAATAAAGAGATACATAAAAATTGGTAAATATAAAGAGTGGATCCAGTACTGTAAGTCATAAAGACTAAGGTTTCAGTAATTTGTAGGAAAATGGCTTCATCTTGAGACTATAATTTTAAGTTAAATAAATAAGACACAGGGGCTAAATATCTCATAGTTTCTCTTATATGAGAAACCCAAAGTTAGAAATAATTCAAAGAGCAAATAAAAAAGAGACTGTAGGAATCAAGGAGGGAGGAAGACTAAGGATTTTGGGGAAAAGGACGTGGCAGGAAGTGGAGTTAAAATGATCAGGATGCTGTACATGTGTGTATGAATTTATCATAGTGATTACAATTATTGTGTATCACAAACATACACTAAAAAAGAATGTTTTTAATCTGATAAAAAATTACCCACAAAAGTCCTACTTTTATTTCACTCAGTGGTGAAGCATTGGCAGTTTTTTCTTTCAGAGCAAAACAGTACAAGAATAGCTGGATACAAATTATTGTCTGTTCTATTCGATATTATACAACTAATTTTAGCCAGTGCAGGTAAGCAGGAAATAGAAGTAAAAGCTATTAGGAGAGGAAAGGAGGAAGCAAAATTGTAATGATTTGAGAAATGATTGTATACATAGAGAATCCAGAAAAACCTACAGTTTAATTACCAAAATTATTTAAAAAGTTAAAAAAATTTGGTAGTAAAGCAATTTAAAAATTATTCATATTTCTACATGTTCAGTAACAGTGTGTGAAGTTGAAAATTAAAAATGTTCATATTTACTTGGGCCACCCACTCGGGACTGCTCCTGCCCCTCAGGAGCTTTTCTATCAATAAATCTCTTCCTACTTTTAACCTTAAAGTATTAATATTTGCATGGAATAATTGGATGGAGAGACATATAACAAAATCTAAACATAGATTCTATATTTATGAATTAGAGATGAAATGTAAAAATGTCCTTTTCCCCAAAACTGACCAATATATTTCTTGTACCTGAAAAATAGTTTGTAAAAGTTAACTCATTCTAAAAAACAAGACTAAGATGGGAAGATTTGCTTAAAAAAAAGTCACAGTAACGAAGGTGATATCAAACTGATGAGACACAGAGCAGGCTAATTGGCTAGACTCTCAGACAAGTGGACACTGACACACACCCATGTGGATACCTGATTTGTGATGGTATTTGAATTTACCATTACAGTAGAGAAGACTATTTATTCTCTTCTCCCCAGTAAATAGTACTGAGAAAATAGGAGTCACATATTTTCTCTATGTGAAGTATCATAGAGCTTGACCTTGTTTCATGTCATATCCAAAAATGCATTCTAGATAGTTTATGGATCCAAGTGTGAGTGAAGATTAGAAAATACATTGTATTGAGTTCTTTATATATTCTAGATAATAGTCCTTTGTCTGAGGAGAAGCTGGTAAAAATTTTTTCCCACATTGTAGGTTGTCTCTTAGTTCTGTTGATGGTTTCTTTTGCAGTGCAGAAGCTTTTTTAAGAAGATAAAATCTCACTTGTTGATTCTTTGTGCTAGTTCCCGTGCTACTGAGGATTTGTTCATAAAGTCTTTTCCTATGCCAATGTCTTCCAGAGTTCTGCCTAACTTATCTTCCAGCAAGTTTAGTGTTTCTGTTTTAATATTTAGACCTTTAATCTATTTTGATTTTAATTTAGTGCATGGTGAAAGATAAGGGTCTAGTTTTAATCTGTGGCAGGTTGAGATCCAGTTTTTCCAACACCATTTATTAAAGTGGCCATCCTTCCTCCAGTGGGGATGGTAAGCTCCTTTGTCAAAGATGAGGTAGTCGAGTACATCTGGAGTTGTTTTTGTGTCTTGCAATCTGTTCCACTGATCCTTGGGTCTGTTTCTTTGCCAGTACCATGCTGTTTTTATCACAGTGGCTTTGTAGTATAGTTTCAAATTGGGAATTGTTATACCCGCTGCCATATCTCTGTTGCCTAGGATGGCGTTTGCTATTCTAGGTCTCTTTTGGTTCAAAATGAATTTTTGAATTCTTTTTTCTAGTTCTGTGAAATATAGTGTTGGAATTTCTATTGGCATTGCATTGAATCTGTATAGCAGTTTTGGTAGTATGGCCATTTTCACTATGTTGATTCTTCCTACCCAGGAGCAGGGGATATCCTTCCATTTTTTTATATCCTCTTTGATCTCTTTTTTCAGAGTTCTGTAGTTTTCAGTGTAAAGGTCTTTTGCTTTTTTTTTTAGATTGACTCCTAGATACTTCATTTTTTTGGATGCTATTGTGAAAGGAATTGTTTTCCTAATTTCTCTCTCAGTGAGTCTGTTATTTGTGTACAAGAAGGCTATTGATTTAAGAACTCAAAACAATCAGACCCCCCAAATATAAAGACCCAATTAAAAAATGGGCATCTGAAATGAACAGACATTTCTCATACAAAGAAGTAAGAGCAGCAAGTAAGTATATGAAAAAATGTTCACCTATCACTGGTCATATGAGAAATGCAGATGAAAACAACACTGAGATTCCACCTCACCCCACAAAGAATGGCTGCTGTCAAGAAATCAAGCAATAACAAATGTTGGTGGGGTTGCAGGGAGAAAGGAACCCTTCTCCATTGTTGGTGGGAGTGCAGACTGGTGCAACCACTCTGGAAATCAATATGGAGATACCTCAAAGAGCTGGGACTAGAGGTTCCATTTGACCCAGCCATCTCTCTGCTGGGTATTTTTCCAAAAGAATTAAAAGAATCATACCGTAGTGATATATGCACACCTATGTTTATAGCAGCACAGTTTGTAATAGCTAAAACTTGGAAACAGACCATTTACTCATCAGTTGGATACTGGATAAAGAAGATGTGGTTTTTCTATAAAATGGAGTACTACTCAGCCAGAAAGAATGAGAAATTAGATTTCATTCATAGGAAAATGGATGCATGTTGAGGATATATTCCTAAGTGAAATAAATAACTCACAGTTTCTCTGGTGAAAAACTATAACAGTACATAAGATCCTAATGAGGTAATTGACAATGTGAAATAGGAAGAAAAGGGCTAAAGTTGTAGGGAAAGTGGGAAAGGGTAGGGGAAAGGGAATAAGGGAAAAGAAAAAATATGAGAAAATGAAAAAATGGAAACAAAGTGTTTGTAAATGGGGAAGGGAGAAGGAGGTGAAGGGAGGGCACGGGCAAGGGGAAAAAAATGAGAACCAAGACCTGTCATGTAAAGGTACAAGATCCCAATAATGAATGTAACTGTACTGTATACCTAGAATGTACCAATAAACTCAATTAAAAAAAGAAAGTACATTGTAACTATATCTTCATGATAAAGGAAGATTGTAGACACTACTATGTATGAAAGTACTAAAAAAAGGAAGAAAGTGCTTATACCGAGAGGATTAAGCAATTTGATACATTAAAATTGAGAGAAAAAGACCATTCATAAAGACACTTATAACACATATAACTAACACAGGATTTATATTCTTTTTTTGTGGGGGTGTTGAACTCAGGTCCTTGCGCTTGCAAGGCAGGCCACTGAACTGCTGAGCTAAATCCCCGGCCCTACATAGGACTTATATTCTTGTTGTATAAAGAAGTATAAATCATATGAAGGAGCTAAATAAATCAATAAAATATGGACAAAGACCTTTAATAACCTTCTTTCAAAACAGAAAATTCAAGTGACCAATAAATCTATGAAAAGGTATTAATCTTACCAAGTCCCAGAGAAGGACTGAGACACCAGCTCCATCACCCCTCCCTCCTGTGTATATACCCTAGAGAAATGTGTACAGTTTTACCAGAAATGTGTTCAGGAGGTCATAGCAGCGTTATTCTTTTTTTTGAGGGGGTACAGGGGATTGAACTTAGGTCCTTGCTCTTGCCAGGCAGGCAGCAGAACCCCTGAATTAAATCCCTGGCCCAGGATTTTTTTTTTCTCATTGAGTTTATTGGTACAATCTAGGTATACAGTACAGTTACATTCACTATTGGGATCTTGTACCTTTACATGACAGGTCTTGGTTCTCATTTTTTCCCCTTGTTCGTGTCTTCCCTTCACCCCCTCCTCCCCTTCCCATTTACAAACACTTTGTTTCCATTTTTTCATTTTCTCCTATTTTTTTTCTTTTCCCTTATTCCCCTTCTCCTACCCTTCCCACTTTCCTTACACCTTTAGCCCTTTTCTTCCTATTTCACATTGAACAGTGTTATTCTTTTTTTTATTGTTGTTGTTCAGCTTTAATTGAGTTTATTGGTACATTTTAGGTATACAGTACAGC